GCCCGCGGCCGTGGGGCCCTGCCCTCTCCAGCCGGAGCGCCGCCCGGCCGCGGGATCCTGGCTTTTTTTTTTTTTTTTTTTTTTGGTTCTGTTAGTGGCCCCGTTACCCGCCGCTGGGGCCTAACACCAAGTTGTGGGCTCGCGGATCAGCCGTCCGCCAGCCGTGGAAACGCGATAAGAGCCAGACGGTTCGCAGAAGGAAATTTCTGATGCAACTCTCCGCCTTCGCTGGTCGCCTCTCCAAACGCCTGCCTTGCGACTGCCCTGCAGCCTGTGCGTTATGGAAATGAGGGTATTCTCGACTTTTGATGGGGTTCGTCTTTTCCGGGCGGTGGAAGGAACGCCAACTTTGTGCCATTCGCCCCTGACCGGAACGGTGGGCAGGGTAGGGGAGCCGCGGGGGACGTGGACCCGCTCCCGGAGCTTGGCGACGCGTCGGGAAAGATCGCGTGCCTGCAAACGTTGTATCCACTTTCATTGAAGAGATGCAAAGAAAAAAGGCCCCAAAACAAGTAGCGCTCGTGAGTAAATACGCGTTATTGCACAACTTTCTCTGTGCTGCTGTTTACGAGGCCAGGCCCGGAACACTTTGTTTCCGAAAATGCTGATTCAGCCATTTGGAGCCCCCGACTTTTCAGAAATGGTGCTCTCTTTAACGTTTCGCTCAGTTTTACTCAGAACACATGTTGGTGAGCGCAGCAACAGGCGTTGGCTAGAGTTTACAGCACAAAGCTGCTCGTTTCTCACCGGGGTTGACCTAGTGTCTCCCTCTCTTTCTTTCCCAGAGGAAAAATAGGTAAAATCGAGGTTTCTGCAGAGGAGGAAGTTTTCCCCTACTCGGGGGATGGCGAGGTGTCTTTTAGGGGAGGATTTTATTAAGGGAAAGCCCCAAAACCAAATATGTGTTTCCAGGAATGATTCTGGATGACCGTTTTTTTTCCCCTTCCTGTTAAAAATCTGAACTGTAGGATTACTGCACATAATAGTTGAGTTTTATTGGGAACACTTAAAAGAGAAGGGCCACGCAGGCCAATCCCCAGATTACAGGGAGGGAATTTGAGGACAGATGGACTTACACACCCAGCAAGTGGCTCCTGTAACTGAGAGGTGTCGCCACTGATACTCCCTGAGCAGTTCACGGTGCAAGAGACTCGCAAAGAACCTTATTGCTTTAATCCCCTCCAGCCCCATGATCCTCGTTTTACTGGTAGGGAAACTGAGGCTCAGGAGGTTAATCGGCAGGCCTGCGGTCACATGACCGGCAAATGACAGAGCTGTCACCAGAGCCTAAGCTTTGGATTTTGTTTTTAGCCCTGTGTGTTTTGTGCTGCTGCCCAAGTCCATTGTTCCTGAAAGTGAAATGGCCCCCCGGGGGAGGCTCCTGCTGCCGGCCTCACGCACCTGGAGGAGGGAGAGGAGGCTCTGTGACCATTCTGGTCGCTTCCAACCTTCCAGATTTCTGTCGGATCTCCAGGCCGTTGTCATTTTGTGCACTTCTTTTTATCCTCCAAATGCACTTATTTGGGGGAGGAAACTTGGATGTCGTGAGTTTGACATGGCCGTTGTGTTTCGTGTCATTAAAACAGCCTTCTAATAAAAGCCTTGTATCCCTGAAGTCATCTGTTGACTCTCGCCTGTGGTCTTTACCACTTTGGGGGCGGTGCTGGGCTGGGCAGAATGCCTTTCCTTTGTGAATCAGGAACCCAGAGCCGGGAGGCTTCTCGCCAGCTATTTGTCTAGAGAGTTATTGGTGGTGGCCGTTGGGATCGGAACCCAGGGCCAGTCTGGGAGGCCAGTCTCTCCGCCTCCAGCTGGAGAGAGCTGGAGTCCAAATGTAGGAGCTAGCATGAAACTTTGATTTTGACCGGGTGGCGGCTCTGAGACTTTATGACACACGGAAACCACAGTCCTGCCTGAGCAGAGGCCAGCCCCATCAGAGCTGTGGACGTTCTGGGTTGGTGTAGCTGGTAAAGCGTAATGCGTTGAAGGTGGCGTTGTTTCAGGAACCGATTCGCTTGGAGTTCTGTGCCTTTCTCAAACCGGTAGGAGGGCGACAGGGTGTTCTCGAGCCGGTGTCTGGGGCGAGCTGGGTTCCTGTCAGCACTGGGAGCTGAGGGGGCGTCTGCTCGGTTCACGGGGGCAGTGTGTTAAGCAGGGGCTCCTGGGGAGAGAGTATTTGCCGTGTCTTTCATTTAGGTCACCACCACGTTCAGAATTGAAATAGGACTTTTGCTGCCTAGTGAAGGTTTTCTTCTTTAACCTGTCTTTGTTTTTTGCTTAATGGTAGAACCATGGGAAATCAAGGAAGGAATTGAGACAGTTAAGCTCCTTGGTGGGCGAGGCTGGCAGACGGGCACTTGGGGGATCTGGCAACCTTCTAGAAGGTCTGCATGCTAATGGGTGTATAACAGATCTCATCCGTTCAGGCACCTGCTGGCATTGGGTTGGTATTAGAGTCATAGCTGCACGCTTCTGGGGAGCTGTCTGTGCTCCCCCTCTTTCTGCCTCTGGCAGGGACACCTCGCCTCCACTGTCCTCTCCGGCTTTGAGGAACTTCTGAACTTTTCTCCGTGGAACAGGCTTTGTCCCTGCTCCTGGGGATCACCAGAGCCTGATACCTGGAAGGACGTGAAAGTGGGGAAGCGTGAAACCTTTCTAGAAAGGCTCTTCTGTAATGATAGGAAGAAAAATGGCAGGACGGTCCTTTGAGACGGTAACTGAGAAAGCCGTGGCCCAGGGTTGTGGAATGTCCTCGGACAGGCAGAGAGGAGCGGTCCTGACTTTCTGCCTTTGGGGTTCACCGACTCTGAGGGGATCTCCCCTTTATGCCTCTGCCGTGGCAGAGATGGCCCGGACTCAGAGGGAAGCTTCCTCGCTGGTCCTGTGTGTGGTTTTGCCTGTTTGTGAAGGCAGCATGTCGAGGTGGAAATAGGATGCCCGCCCAGAATGCTGGGCATGAAGTTGGTGCATTGCGACTGGATGCCACTGGGGACGCTGGAATATCATTCCCATTTTTCAACCATTAAATTTATATGTGGGTTTGGGGGTTGCGGGTTTCCCTCGATGGTTGAGATCCTTGATTTGAGCATTGACTTGGGCCGGACCCACCAGAGTGGCCAGTGTGTTTTGGCATCCCCTGTGGGACAGGGTGCCGGGGAGGTGTTCTGCTCCCTTTTTGCTCTGTGCAGAGTAGCGGCCCGTACCGATGTTTGCACGAGGCCGGCTGCCTCAGTTTGCCCGCTGGGTCTGCCCCTTCCTAACGTGGCGAGCCTGAGTCACCACTAAGCTCATTGGTGAAATGAGACTCAAAGATGTGTTCACCTGCATAGGGCTGGGGGAAGGGAGGAGGCTGGTGGCATTGTGTGACCCGCCGTGTAGCGCATGATGCTTAGCGAGAGTCCAGACACCCTGCTTCCGTGCACGCTCAGCCTTGGCTTTGAGCCGCTCGTGTGCTTGATTATCCTGCTTTCTATTAATCCGCGGCGTCTGCTAGAGAGAGGGCTCTGCCGCTCAGAGAGGCGCCTGCCCGCGCTTCGCGCGTTTTCGCTGCACCAGACCTTGGCAAGTTGACCGTGACCCGCGTTGAGCACAGACCCTGTGAGAATCCTGTTCTTGCCTGGCTGTAGCCACCACAGGTGGGGTTCGAAGAGGAAAGCGGGGTGGTGTGACATAGACGGTTTCTGGTGGCAGAGCATTCGGCTCCGACGACGGTGACCAGCAGGCATCGACGTACTGGTTCCCTGCAGGGAAGACCTCGGAGCCGCGGAGGCCCCGGCGGGCTGCGGCACTGTGTGCGGGGAGACCCCTGGTCTCGGGCACGTGGAGCCAGGTGGCGTCTGTTTTCAGATCCTTGAGGGGGGTGGGTGTCTGGAGTCCACAGAGACTTAGTCCAGCTGAGACAAGTGCGTGTGCACCGTAGGTCCTGATGGGCTGACCGTGAGCCTGGGAAGCAGGTCTACACACTGTCCAAGGGCTGTGCTGGTGGCCAGCCCTGCCTCTCCCTGAGTCCTGCCTGGGTTTCCTTGCTTCCTTTTCTTCCTTCCTTTTCTCTTTCTTTTCTTTTCTTTTCTTTTCTTTTCTTTTCTTTTCTTTTCTTTTCTTTCTTTCTCTTTGTTTCTTCCTTTTTCTATTTTTAATGTTTATTTTGTTTTTGAGAGAGAACACGTGAGCTTGCAGGGGAGGGGCAGAGAGGGGGAGACACAGAATCCGAAGCGGGCTCCAGGCTCCAAGCTGTCAGCACAGAGCCCTACACGAGGCTGGAACTCACGAACCGTGAGATCACGACCTGAGCTTAGTCAGAGGCTTAACCGACTGAGCCCCCCAGGTGCCCCATGTCCCCTGTTTCTCATACGATTCTTTGATTTCTCTGCTAGGAAGATGAGAAGCTGGCTTTCTGTCCCATCCCTGTCCTGCCCCTGTACTTCTTGTCCCCGCGTTGCCTCTGCTGGCGAGATCGGCCCGACCGTCACCCACTGCTGATGCTATTGGGTCAGCCCCCAATGCTCCTGGTGCCCGGCCCTGTAGCGCACTGCGGTCCCTTCCACTGCCGGAACGTGGCGCTTTCTCTGGGCGAGCTTCTGCGTCTGCTTGGTGGTTTATGTATTTCGCACCCCCCCCCACCCCGATCTTCTCCGTCAGCCTTGGGCGGGGGTGGGGGGGGCCTTGCCCTTCTCTTGGATCCCTTGTCTCTCCTTTTCCTCGTCTCTTCCCACAGCAGGACAGAGAACATTCTGTCTTCGCTTCGGAGACGCAGTTGCTTGCAAATTTCTTGAGACCTGGTGTGTCTGCACACATCCTTATTCTACTCTCTCAGGTCCGTGTGTCCAGGAGAGACTCCTAAAGTGGTGGTTTTCCCTCACGTGTGTGAAGGCTGCTGCTGTGTGTAGACAGAACGCAGTTGAGAATGAAGCTGGTCTGGTTCTTGATGCTTCGTCTGAAACCTGCTCCGTATTTTTCTTTTTTTTTTCTTTTTCTTTTTCTCACGTCTTGAAGCTTGTAGGATATTCTCTTTGAATCTTTGTTTTGGAAATCCCTTGAAGAAGTGCCCTGACCCTGCATCCGTCGTGCGGGGTACATCGAGGGTCTCTACAGTCTGAACGTTTTTGAAGGAATCCTTTAGTTTGTCTTCTTCCGTCTAATTTGCTTGTTAGCCTACAGGATGGGTTCTCCGTTTACTTTTTAGCTCCTGTTTTCTGTCTGTTCTGTTCCGGGTTGTGCAGGGTGTTAGCCTTTCTAACCCTTTCTGTTGGGTTGTAAATTTCTGTCTTCATTTTTTAATCCCCGAGGACCTCTTTTCTGATTCTTTTCTTTCAATAAACTTTTAAAAAAATATTTATTTATATGAAAAAAATTTGTTTTTGATATTTATTATTTATTTTTAAGAGGGAGACAGAGAGCAAACGGGGGACGGACAGAGAGAGAGGGAGACACAGAATCCGAAGCAGGCTCCAGGCTCTGAGCTGTCAGCACAGAGCCCGATGTGGGGCTCGAACTCACGGAGTGTGAGATCATGACCTGAGCT